TAGGACACACTACACGTTGGCGGTTGCACAGAAAGATATCTTGAAAATCTGCTAATAACAAACAAATTATCAAGTTCACGTGGCAAGACGTCGGCAGCCTTACTATATATCTTGTATTATATATTACCTTTCCTCTGTTGGGGGTTTTACGATAGGGACTAATAGCATTTAATGAAATTGGCTATTTTTTTAATAATTTTAATAACAACCATAAACAAAACCTCACCTCAGACAGTGGAAAGTTGCTGATGTTAATAAGTTTCCGCTGTTTAACCACACACCTTAGCATGATAACAACACTTTTCCATTTCATTCTAAAACGAAATAACAGCGTGATCAGCAGAGAAAATAATTTTGCATCGCTAGCAATTCTTGTTTATCTCTCTCTCTCTCTCTCTTTAATGTCTTCTTTCTCTCTCTTCTACACAGACAGAAACCAAAGAAGTGCAAACATATATCAAAAACAGAAAGTTTTTTTTCGTGTATATGCAAAAGGTAGCTCGCCGGTACTTAAAGTTGCAATTCTTAGAAAGCTAAACGAAACAAGGATCTTTGTAATCTGCACATTTATGACTTAGATCTGACGTATGATGTAAAGGTTACATTTGAAAGGTTTCCTATGTGGTTACGTGTTTTTCTTTCATATTAAGGCACACGCCAGTGGCTCAATGTCAAGTTTGAGGTCCTATAACGCCGAAATTCAGGGTTCATCCCCTACGATGTGCTCAACACAGATAACCGATTTTGTAGATTTGTGCTTAACAACAAACAAGTTATATTGAAACTAAATAATTAGATATGATAGCATACATCAAACACTAATGTTTATTTACTTCAATATCAAAACTCACATTAAAAAGTAATAAAAGAAAATATATTGCTCAGGGTTTATTATATCAAACCGTCACTGGCCAGAGTGGACATTTTGACTTAGTTCTTTCTTAATAAAACTGGCACAGTGAAACCCTGGTATTAAAAATATTTCTTCTGGTGATTAGAGCCACTTGTTATACTTGTAAAGTTTGTTTCATTCTCCAGTATACATTACGATCATTTAGAATAACAAGGCTTTCGTGTACGTGAAAGCGAAAACACTTAAAATATCAAGGTTTGTTTTTGAATTTCGCGCAAAGCTACACGAGGGCTATCTGCGCTAGCCGTCCCTGGCAGTGTAAGACTAGAGGGAAGGCAGCTAGTCATCACCACCCACCGCCAACTCTTAGGCTACTCTTTTACCAACGAATAGTGGGATTGACCGTCACATTATAACGCCCTCACGACTGAAAGGGCGAGCATGTTTGGTGTGACAGGGATTCGAATCCGCGACCCGCAGATTACGAGTCAAGTGCCCTAAAATATCAAAGGAAGTCTTGAAGTTCAATAAGCAATGAATATACTTAATTATTTCGTAATTGTATTTGTGAATGTAGCAAAAAACAAACAAACGTATCGATTTTATCTTAACTGACAACTTAGTTGATATACACAGTTTACGTAACGTTCCTCAACTTCTGGTTCATCTGACGAAAGAAAAACGTATGTAATTTACAATTAGTTTATCAATTTCACTCAGCTATCTTGTATATATCAACCTGAAAGTTAATTAGTTTACCTATAGTCTCTTAATTACCTAGTTTATCTCAACCAATAACCTATTTGGTTTACCCGTACTTTCTCAAATAGCTGGTTTATCTTAAACGATAACTAACCATAATTTATTTCATTTACACGTAATTTTCTATAGTCTCTCAATTATCTAGATATCTCTTATTCATCTACTTTATTTTTAAGTTTCATTCATTAAATTCATCATAACTCTTTACGTACCGAGAAAATATAACGTTTTACAGAATTATAACGAGACAAAAAAGTAAGTTATTTTAAAAATGACGTGTTTTTATAAACATTTCTGATTATTGCACAAAGTGATGGCACCCCACAATGTTGGTTTATGGCATGAATTAAGTTATATGCAAAGAAATTAAAATAAATGTCTTTCCAAAGAAATATTGGAGTGTCAAAAACGACATATTTGAAAGTACGATTTTTTGCCTCAAATTTAATATTTAATTTTGTTATTGAGATGTATAAAGAAAACAATGCTACTGTCGAAGCAAAATTCTGAAAAGCAATTCCATAATCTGCTTTTGGTGAATACTTTAAGTTTAATCTCATCTATTGGACATCAATGTAACTGAATACCACAGTGGCTGGAGCCAGGACTCTAAAATATTTCATTAGTAAAGCAGCTGAGCTGTCCATTCTTGGGACTTTTACTTCATTTGGACTTGATTCGATTAATTGTATAGAGGTTCTCCAGTGGGATATCCACATTTTAGTAGATTGTTTGAATACGTGATATGTTGGATGTATAAGGTTGTTCTATATTTCTTTTACTTGTGTGTGTGTGATTCATATCTATATTAAAGTTCAAAGTTCACTGTTGTGTCACTCACTGCTATAGTTTCAATAATAGTCTTGAAACTGTTTTGGTTTCGACTTGTTTACTGGTAGTGTTTCTTTGGTCTGTAGCTAAACTGTTTGTTTCTGTTTTGGTTTCGACTTGTTTATTATTATGGACAATATAACAGCAATGATTAAACTATGAAATAAGATGGTTATTATGGACAATATAACAGCAATGATTAAACAATGAAATACGATAGATATTATGAACAATATAGCAGCAATGATTAAACTATGAAATACGATAGATATTATGAACAATATAGCAGCAATGATTAAACTATGAAATACGATGGATATTATGAACAATATAACAGCAATGATTAAACTATGAAATACGATGGTTATTATGAACAATATAACAGCAATGATTAAATTATGAAATACGATGGTTATTATGGACAATATAACAGCAATGATTAAACAACGAAATACGATGGTTATTACGAACAATATAACAGCAATGATTAAACAACGAAATACGATGGTTATTATGAACAATATAACAGCAATGATTAAATTATGAAATACGATGGTTATTATGGACAATATAACAGCAATGATTAAACAACGAAATACGATGGTTATTATGGACAATATAGCAGCAATGATTAAACTATGAAATATGATGGTTATTATGAACAATATAGCAGCAATGATTAAACTATGAAATATGATGGTTATTATGAACAATATAGCAGCAATGATTAAACTATGAAATATGATGGTTATTATGAACAATATAACAGCAATGATTAAACTATGAAATACGATGGTTATTATGGACAATATAACAGCAATGATTAAACTATGAAATACGATGGATATTATGGACAATATAACAGCAATGATTAAACAACGAAAAACGACGCAGTGGCTTTTCTAGTTTGAAAATCTAATCTTTCGTAAATGAAGAGTTTTTACCGATTCGTAAAGTGCTATCATTATACGTTATTTCATTAGTTGCTGTTTGTTGATAGAAGAAAGAAATGTTGATAAAATTCGTAAAGAACAACAAAGTTTTTGTATTATTATAACACGAGTATTTTTTATTTTGATTGGAAGGCACACTTCATAATGATAAATAGAGCGTAAATGCATGAGTGCGTATTTTATTTCATAAATTATCTGATTTTACACAATATTGCTTGCTTACTTAATCTTTTGGAATTAAGAAATTGACACGTTCTAGAGTTTTACTCGTAATGCTTAAAATCAAATAAAGAAAGAGCATTCAATAAAAAAATGTAAAAAAAGTAAAATTGTTTTTTTTATTCAATTATTTTGATCAAAATCACTTAAAATAAAATAAAGAAAGATCATTCAATTAAAAATGTTTTACTGTAGTAAAAACAAGTAAAATGGGTTTTTTATCTATTCAATTATTTTGATCAAAATCACTTAAAATAAAATAAATAACATTCAATAAAAAAAGTTCTACTATAATAACAAAAACAAATAAAAGAGGGATCTTTTATATTAAATTACTTTTGATAAAGATTCTGAGTAAAATTTCCGTTAAAGAATATCGATAAATCTTTAATTAATTATTGCAAATTTTCTAATATAACAACATCATATTCAAGTAATAACAAATTTTCGGATAATAGATAGTTTAGCCGTACTCATATTTTTGTGTTTATAAATGATACGTGATATCCTGAACAACAATTATATCATTTGTAGTCGATGGAAGAATACATTAAAAAACATAATACGATCGAATTTTTAATAAGATATATTATAAGCGAAAATATAATTTAAAAAAAGAAGGTTATAGAATTACTAATTGTAACAAATATCATCAGTTTCTTAAACTATTTATTATTCTATACATGTAGTTGAAAACATGCACAAGTTAAATCAGTATTTTCAATGATGTTAAGTTAGATGTCAGGTGACGTCAATGTGTGGTCAAAACATGTTTCTGGAAACATACAATCTAATACAGGAATTATAATCAAGAAATTTATAAAATAAACCCGTAAACGTCATTACACGCATCAGTTAAATTCACAGTTGAAACGAGTAAAAAAATCTAATGTCTGTCAAAATTACACAACAGTAAACTTAGTAGAGGCAACAGATTGAAGAATGAAAAATACTTTACAAAATATTGGGAAAATGACATAATCAGACTAGTACTTCTCAAGGGTTTCATCAAAATGTTAGTAAAATGACATAATCAGACTATTACCTCTTGAGGATTTCTTCAAAATGTTATTAAAATGACAAAATCTAACTATTAAGTCATGAGGATTTCGTCAAAACTGTGTCAAGGAATTAATAAAAATATTAAGTAAAATGATAGAATCAGACTACTAAATCTGCCTCATGTTACTAAGTAAACAGAGATGATCATTTTAAACACTAGGTTAGATTTTCAACACTAGTTTAGATTTTCAACACTAGTTTATATTTTCAACACTAGGTTAGATTTCAACACTAGTTTATATTTTCAACACTAGGTTATATTTTCAACACTAATTTAGATTTCAACACTAGTTTAGATTTTCAACACTAGGTTAGCCTACCTCGTCTGTCTCCGATCCAAAAAGCAGCAAGTCAAAAGGGATAGCCGCCACAATGTCAATAATAAACCAGCCTCGAAGATAGTGGACAGCAATCCGACCTGGATGACTGACCACTTCTTCATTTGAGTTGATGTACGTGGTGCGAAAGTTGATGAGTATGTCAATGATAAACATGACGTCGACTAGAAGATCGATGATGACAATGGGGTCGTCGCCATACTTCTTGTTACGCTTGGTTCTATCTTCGTTCAGCAAGAAAGCAGCGACGTAAGGGGTAAATATGGCGGTGTAGATGACTAATAGAAGAATTATCCAGTCCCAAAAGGCCTTAAAAGGAGAATAGTGGAGGATAGTCCATTTATTGACTCTGGGCTTCTGAAGCTTGTGCTCTGGTAGAACGTCTGCTCCCAAGGACAGTACCTGCGCATGGGAAGAGGGGGGGGGGAGATATTAAGAAACTGTTTGGTTCCTTTTTTTTTCCCACAAGCTAAACACCCAATCACTGGCCAACTGGTGATCACCTAACCAATCAAAACCTAGAGCCTAATATTTGTTACCATTATAAATTCCAACCATATTAGATTTTTCTTATTAACTTTAAACTTCATTTATGTTTGTTTGTTTCGAATTTCGCGCAAAGCTACACGAGGGCTATCTGCGCTAGCCGTTCCTAATTTAGCAGTATAACACTAGAGGGAAGGCAACTAGTCATCACCACCATTGACCCCACATTATACCGCTCCCACAGCTGAAAAGATGAGCATTTTGGTGTGACGGGGATTCAAACCCGCGACCCGCAGATTGCGAATTGAGCGCACTAACCACCTGGCCATGCCGAGTCCTTTATTTAGGATGTACGTTTGAAAAAAGAAATTACTTATAAAATGACTGACCTTATCTGTTATGAAAGGGAAAAGGAATAACTACAATAATTTTAAGGTTTAGCTAATTGTATGTGCATTATCTCGAACTACCTCAATCGCGTGTTCAAGTTTGTAGTTAGTTATTAAAATATGCAATTGATTTGGCAAGACTTTTGTTTCAGTCTAGCCCACGGTTAACGATGAAAGGCGTTTTTCGTCTAAAAACTGAAATAGAGTATAGATCAGACTTTTTTTTTACCAGAAATTCAAGAAGAAATCTAATACCTATGTTAACTAAGCACTTCTTAAATTCTCACCCTTGTTTCAAGTATTAGAGCTTGAAACCTTTATGAATAATCACCTTAGAAGATCTAAATTGATAACACGCTTTCAAGGAGTTTCTCACCCTTGTTTTAAGTATTAGAGATTCAAACCTTTATGAATAATCACCTTAGAAGATATAAATTGATAACACGCTTTCAGGGAGTTATTATGTATTGTTATATGAAAGTCTAGATATTTAGGTGTTCTTTATTCCAGAACGGTTAAATAAATAAATGGTATTGTGTTACAAAGGGTTTAAGCATTATTATCTAAAGTGTATGAGGTGTTTTTTTAACCAGAAAGATTAATTGAGTAAGGGGATAAGCATTGCTCTATAAAGTATATAATTTTATGTATTTTATATTTCGAAAATATTAAGTTAACAAATGTTATTGTGTAAAGTGTTAAGTAGTGTTGTATAAAGTATAGGATTTTATGTATTTTATATTTCGAAAATATTAGGTTAACAAATGTTATTGTGCAAAGTGTTAAGTAGTTTTGTATAAAGTATAGGATTTTATGTATTTTATATTTCGAAAATATTAAGTTAACAAATGTTATTATGCAAAGTGTTAAGTAGTGTTGTATAAAGTATAGGATTTTATGTATTTTATATTTCGAAAATATTAAGTTAACAAATGTTATTATGCAAAGTGTTAAGTAGTGTTGTATAAAGTATAGGATTTTATGTATTTTATATTTCGAAAATATTAAGTTAACAAATGTTATTATGCAAAGTGTTAAGTAGTGTTGTATAAAGTATAGGATTTTATGTATTTTATATTTCGAAAATATTAAGTTAACAAATGTTATTATGTAAAGTGTTAAGTAGTGTTGTATAAAGTATAGGATTTTATGTATTTTATATTTCGAAAATATTTAGTTAACAAATGTTATTATGTAAAGTGTTAAGTAGTGTTGTATAAAGT